ACTTGATGCCTATTTGACGCCTATTTGATGCCTACTTGATCGAAGTCCGTGGGCCTGAGGCTCCGCGTCATCAGAAATCGTCGGATGAATGTAATGATGAATGGGGCGGCCCCGGAAATGGCTGAGAATCTACACGCGCCTTCATGGTCCGCCACGAAAGAGGCAGCGACGCTTTGGACGCGCGGCTCAATGACCTAGCTGTGGGCACTGTGGGTGATACATTGCATATTCCCCCGATTTGGTGGAAGTCTGGAATGTGATTCTCCAGGAACTCGTCCATCCATGGCTTTGGGACGTGGAAGTCTTGCGGGCCGAGCAGGTACATTGGGCTACTGACGACAAATATTACACTGAAGAACTGAAGAAATTGGACCTCAAGCATCGCCACGCATCCGTGCGCGAATGCCTTCATAATGCCTTCATACGTGTTTGCACAACCCCATCCATAGGTATGCCCGAGCTGCACGCATTGTTTGCACGTAGTCAGTGCCCTATTTTGTGTGACCAGCCCCAGCCAGGTCACTATTCCACCACCTGTACGAGCTCTGTCACTACTCTTTTAATCACAGGAGTTCCCGCGCACTAATGTCACCGTCCTCACCAGCCACTGCAGCGGATGTCTCCCGTGGCATTGCTCCATGAGTCATTACGCCTTTCGGTATTACTCTGCAACACGTTCTTCCCAAGCCGTTGAATCCCCGCGTGCACTTTCCGCCAGAACCCTACCGCCTCTTGCCCTCTCACCTTTCCGTTTCTCATATGCGCACAGTACGGGCGCGCGGCGCGCAATCAATGCCGACCCTAGCGTGCGCCGCGCCCCCGGGCAGGAGGACGCCTGACACTTTCTAGCCGGCGTTCGTGCGTTGAAATCGGCGGCACGTCAGTTTAGATCTCATGACTTTATCGTGCCGCCGCGCCGCGCCACGCCGCGGTGAAAGGTCCGCCGATTGTGAAGAGCCGACAATAGGCGCGCACAGGATGTCTTCAGTGAAGGGCCATTGTCGTGTCCTGTTCTGACGGCCCGTCAAATTGTTTTGGCGCTCGGACGTGTGCGATTGCTCCTGTCGTTCTCGCAGTTGTTCTTCTTTGGGCAGTGTGTCCTCGGCACGTCCCGCCGCCGCACGCGCGCGCCGGGCCGCTGGGCGCTGGCGTCGGTGCGCTGGGCTCGCCCGTGGCCGTCAGTGGCGCACGCCGCTGCGGGGGCGGCTGGCCGTCCGGTGACGCAACGGAGACCGGCGCCGCGTGGCGGCCGCAGGTCACGCCATGGACGGGAGCGGCGGCCGGGCCCGCTCCGCCGGCGGCCGCCCCACCTGCCGCGCCTGGGTCCGCCCCTGCGGGTGGAGCCGAGCGGCGGGTGCAGGGGAGACTGACTGGCGGCGTTTCAAGAGCCGGGCGGTGTTCAGCTTGATTGTGGACGCGGTGGGTGCAGACGACTACCTTGCCGCTGTTGGTTTAGGTGGATTGTGTTATCTGCTGCCGTGTACTTCGCTCCTGCTCAAAAGTCGGCGCGTTTGATTCCGACATGGAACGTTTGGGTCAGACCCAGGGCTGATGGAGACATCTCTTTATCATGGAACCCATCCTGTCCCGATACCATACATGATGTCACACCTCCCCCAAAGCTGGTGTCACCGATACTTATCTGGCCGTGGCTGACCGCAGAGCGGCTCAGGCTGGTCAATGCATGGGGACGCCAGGACAGTGGCTGGGTCCCGTCACTGAAGCGAGCCGCAGCAGTGACCATCGCCATGGTCAGTCTGCCGTCTCGTGAGTCGTTCTCGGTAGGCTGTCAGTGACTACGTCAACAAGTCGACTCCTTTTGTGAAAGTTCACGTGGTGTAAATGTTTCTTTTCAAACAAATATCTTACACTCAGTCCTTATGCTGCTTTTTCGTGTTTCCAAACCGTTACAGCCGTTGCTTTGTGTTCTCGAGTGTGTTCGCACACACGTCTCCTTCGGCACCATCGGGAAGGCCCTGACGCTGGCTGGCGTAGCTGCTCGCCTTGCGAGCTCCAAGTGTGTATGAGCATCACTTCGCTCCCAAATCGAGCAGACTTCTTGCCATACTTATGAATGCTGAGGTGGTTCTGTGAGGCAAACCATTCCACGAGGTCAACTGCACTGTCGTGGCTATGCCACTATGGCTGCTGGCGGTCCTCCGCGCCTGCCAGCCTGCCCCGGCGCGACGGTAGCCGGCCTCGACGCATCAGCCGAGGGAGGGGGGGGGGGGGGGGGGGCAGAGCGTAGGACAGAGCTGGCGCCGGTGCGAGGCGGCCGCCAAATCGACAGTGTGTCTGCCGGCGCATCGCTATCGTAAAAGTGTCGTCAACAATAGTGAAAAAACATGTATTATCAGAGGGCATCGCTTACAAACCTGCTGACCAACGGAGGACAATCCCATCTTGTGAGACACAGATCCCCAGGGGATCTTCCGCGGGGTAAAAGGACGATTGATTTATGGCATGGCTGATTGGGAAAGGTCCAGAAATGGGCACAGTATGCTTCCTAGCTGTTCCCATCGGAAGCATTTCGTCGATGTCGAACGTTCTTGGGACGTTGGATGCACCGTGTCAGGCTCCACGCGCCTCCAGCAATGAGCAGCACCAGTCTGCCGGTCTGCTCCTCCCAGTGGCGTTGGACCGGAGGAGGGGGAGGGGGAGGAGGGTGACAAGCTGTGGCGCCGCCGGTCCGCCGGTCCCGGTGGCGTTGGACCTGGGGAGGGGGGGGGGGGAGGAGGGTAGCGAGCTGTGGCGTCGCCGATCCACCGGCCCCGGTGGCGTTCGGCCGGCTGCCTTGTCCGTTTGTAGTGTGGGCACGTCGGCCGACGCGGGTGACCTTGGGCCGGCGGTCGGGCCCGATACAGCAGCGCAGACGGCCGGCCCGATATGGCAGCGCCGACAGCTGACCCGATATGGCAGCCCGATGACGACCGCCGACGGCGCCGCAGCCGCTGCTGTCGCCCCGTTCCGCTTCCGACACGCTGCCTGGAGCGACTGCCGCCCTGGAGCTGTGCTGGCGACGCCTCTGGCCGAACTCCCACCTGCGCCCCAGTGGTCTGCTGGCGGCGCCTCTGGCCGAGCTCCCACCTGCGCTGCAGCGGTCTGCTGGCGACGCCTCTGGCCGAGCTCCCACCTGCGCCCCAGTGGTCTGCTAGTGGCGACTCTGGCCAAGCTCCCACCTGCGCCTCAGTGGTCCTGTGTGCGGGATTACCCGTCGTCTTCAGTGGGCATGCAAAGTCCGCAGTGGAGGTTTGTGGCGAGATCGAGATTGAGATACACTTGTGCTCGGGACCACCATGCTGGAGAGACCAGCCGGCGAGTCGTAGAACGGGATCACCCACCTCATGTCTTCGCTTCCTCGTACTTTGAGGACAGACAGGGATGACATTTGCTCAGATTTGACCACCCCTTGCTTGTTAGGGTTTAAATATCTGAATCTGATGCCATGCACCGGAATTCACCTTAACGAGCATTGGGAGGTGGACCCACTGGGAGCGGCTGTCCGCCGGTGGGGCCAGATGCCCCGCTGGCGAGGCTTCTGGTGAAGAAGAGGGCACACGCCACCTCCTGAGGGGGTGGCGTGTGTCAGGACTCGGTGTCGGTCTCACTTTTGGTATACGGTATGACGCAATGCTACGGAGAAATCCACGATGATGTATGGAAGCGCCCCTGCAGGGCTCGTACGGACCCCAGCCCGGTCGCCGCAGTCATCATTGCCATGGTCATGGGACGACGCGTGTGATGCTCGGCCACTGAGAGAGGGCCTCGAAGTTTGCGCTGGCGGCACGTCCCGCACCCTCGGGGGGCCGGCCGTGCGGCCGGTGGGCGGTATCGCCGCGGGAGGGTGGGGGGACCGGTCACCCGGCCAGCGCACCCCGCCCCGTCTCACGTCACCCCGTGCACCCCGGCCCCGCCTCCTGTCACCCCGTGCACCCCGGCCCCGTCTCACGTCACCCCGTGCACCCCGGCCCCGCCTCCTGTCACCCGTGCACCCCGGCCCCGCCTCACGTCACCCCGTGCACCCCGGCCCCGCCTCACGTCACCCCGCGCGCCCCGTCGCCGTCAGTCGACCTCAGGCGGAGACCCATAAACTGTCTATCTCAGCCGGATCTGTGCGCCACTATCGCCCCCCCCCCCGCGTACGCCACTATCGCCCTTCCCCTCCCCCCGCAGCCAGCTGACCTCGCCAGCCCCCCCCCCGTCCTGTTCCAGCGGCGCGTACTACCTGTTTAAACGGGAAATGTCCTCCGAAATGTGGATCATACCGTGTTTGGGGACCGTTCAGTTCTTTTCCGGTCTCATCAACATTGTATTGGTTTGCTGAAAGTGTACCCCAAATTTGGCTTCTTCGAAGGCGGTGTTGGTAGTGTAAATCGTGGACTTCGGCCGGACCTCCGTGCGCCATGATACAATAGCTATGCTTCACCGTGCCGTACTTATACTCATTCATGCGCCTTAATTGAGCGCCGCGGAAACAACAAAGGCGTACGAAATGTCGAAATGTGCCGATCATCATACCAGTCGGCGGACTCAGTAATGCCAGAAGCGCACCATACGCGGGAGCCGGTCAGAGTTTGCCGGACCAGAAGTGCCGCCGGGCCGCGGAAGTCATCTGACTCTCCTGCTCTCCCTCCCACCTTGTCCCGGTGGCGGCTGGACGCAGATCAAAGACGGAATCTTATCGCGATGTTTACCGGGCCAGATACGCGCACCCGACCGCCGTCAGTGCGCCAAGCAGGCCGGAGTTAGTGGACTAGTTGTATAAACTTCGCTGCCGTCAATTTGTCCTGGCAATCAGCTGGTATCCTTAACACAAACAGTTTGGTCACGACGATACGGGATAACATGGGATAACTTTCATGCTGCGCTCGGTACCGATTTGCAAAGAGACGTTCCCGCTAAACACGAATGCAACGAAAGGTCATCATCTGTGACATGCTCGATGCGCTTTTGCGTTGCTCTGAGCGCTCCGGTGACGGTGCTGTCTGCTCTGGTTTCAGATCTTACAACCCCGGCATGGGCCAGCCGAATGACTTAAATGCTGCTGCGATGGTGGCGGCGGCTGCCACGGCTACCGCGACAGCAACGGCATCTGTCGTCGCCCTGCGGGACCGCAATGACCAATACGGACAGGTAGGTGACAGCACCGCTGTGCGAGCTTTTTGGGAGGGAAAGCGCTGGGAGTGTATTTGTAGCGAGCCGGGCGGAAAAGAATGTATGCTGCCGATATCATTCATGACGTCGTGCTTCAAAGATTTTGTGGCTTTCGGTGTCTGCATCAGCTCAAGCCGGTTTGCGCGCCCACGATCGACGGCGGGCGAAAAAAAGTGCGTTAAGCATTACGGACTTCATAATTTGCAACTTCCTCGCTTTAGGGCGCATGCGCGCTACATTCGAACAGCAATGGTGATGTCTCGCATGCGCAGTTATTGTCACGAAAATTACGGTAACTTAAACAGAAAACGTCACCCTGCGAACACGTCCGACAAAGACGTCATGACGTCATGTGAAATAGAACATTCAGTGTCGCAGTGCGAGTACAGCAGAGGTCAGTGCGATGCGAAAAATTGTCGTACTCAACTTTGTGAAAGAGTGTGCATTTTCATCTTTCTTCTCTTAGAAAGCTTTCGCTTTCAAAACTTCTCATGCGATGAAAACCTCGAATTGTTGCTATCGTCTGACGCCCTTTTGTGGGCTGTGGTGGGCCGCCCCCTTTGATGACTAGATGACATAGCTGTCTCGGGGAAAGTTGATATTGTGCTACCCATGACGGAAAAACAATCTGAGTCAGACACGGCACTTGTTTGCCCACATAGTTTGGTCGACAGCATGAGCAACCTGCTAGACTTCGCTCGGGCGCCACTAACGGGAAACAGTCTCCGAATCCTGCATTCCACATCGCGTGCGAAATCAAGTGGGTGCATATCCCGCATGTGTCACGACATCGACCTATCTCGGAGCGTGGCGGGCTTTGCGACCAGAAACGTAGCTGCGGAACTGGCCTCAAATGACCTCCGTTATCAGGAAAGGTTTGCGAAAAATTGGCGGCCCAAGGCCCGCCGCGGCACGCCCTTAAGCGCATCTGGCCGCAATGATCCCCAGGAAACTTTGGCGCGTGCTCAGCAATATTTCTAACGTGTGTTTTTTTGCTCGGCGAGAGGCTGAATTACAGCTTATGGAACTGAGCGCCTCTGGAGCGGCGGATAAATGCAAACTGCACGGAGCGTGGCATCGTAAAACCACCTGCACACAATGAGCAGGTGATTTGAGCCGGCTCAATGGCTGTGCTTGCTTTGGGAGGCCATGTAGCGCCATCCCAGCAGGGTTAAGAGTTTCGTGGGTATGCTTTGAGCGCTCCCCTACTAGCTCAGTCGTAGCCCCCCTACTTAACTCCCCTACTCGCTCCCCTATTAGCTCCCCTACTAGCTCACCCGGCATCCCGGACTCCCGGCAGGAATCCGTTCCCTTTGCTGCACGAGCGTGCGAGCGAGCTCACTCCGCGTTCTCTGTAGGAACAGCCGGGGATGATCGTCGCTCCACGCATTGGCTGGTGACGCGAATCAGCTGGCGAATCAGTTGGTTGCTCATACTGGGGTGACAGCCGGCGTTTTCAGTCGCAATTAAGGCCTCTCGTACTCTGGCATGGGCGGAGAAAGGTGTAGGAGGAGAGCAGAGGCAGTGGAAGCTGGCCTCCATTCTCCACGAAAGTTTAACATTATTATTGACACCGTGCTGCGAGAAAAGAGCCGACTTGAACTTGGGCCTCAGAGCCTCAGCCTCAAGCTTCCTGGCGTTGCTAGGCTCCCGTGGCCTGGTGTTACTGCATCGCTGCTACTGTTCTACTACTATACTGTTACTGCTGCTATACTACTATACTGTACTACTGCTATACTGTTCAGCCGAACCCGCACCGCAGCGAGCCGCCGTCTCGTAACATGCATGGGCGCGGCCATGTTTACACCGTCGCGCGCTGTCTATTTCGGAGGGCACCCCCGCGGCGGGAGAAACCAGGGAGCGCCGTCGAACGGTCTCGGACGCGGCCCTCGGTCGGAGGACGTGCTTGCCGACCGGCACCAGGCCCCTGCAGGCTGCCGCCCAGGGTGCTGATGTTTTCCAGAGCGGCACGCGGCGGGGGGGGGGGGGGGGGAGGCGAGAGGGCTCCATCGAGGGCAGTCAGCCTCCAATCATGTGCGGGTACTCTGCCGTGGCACGAACTCGCGCTCCTTCCGGCTTGCAAAAATCCGCTTAGATTTGGTTCGTGTAAATAACGTAGTTGTCTTCTGACGTGCAGTGGCCGTGCATTCCATCGGAATTTCAGGGTGATGCAACACATCTTAAACCGATGATGTAGTCACGTGATATCAACACGAGCGCCTTGCTAAACCGCGGCGGGTCGCGAGCTGCCGCCACCCACCGAGGGAACAAAAAGCCGCGCGGCCACCGGCGCCTCCACCGCCCTGTCATTGGCCGCCTGGCGCCCGGCCGTCCTATTGGTGCTCCCATTGGCGGCGGCGCTCGGGTGGCGCCGCGCTGGCCCCGCTCGCGCCATATCCGGCCGGTTTGCGCGCGCCAGGTTGTTGACACGGCGCGCCGCTTTTTGCCGCTGTCGGTCTGGGCGGAACAGGGACGGGAACGGGGACGGAGACGGAGACGGAGACGGAGACGGGAGGGGGCAGGGACGGGGACAGGGACGAGGCGGGAGCGGGGGCGGAGAAAGGGACAGGGACAGGGCAACGACAGATAATGCTCGGCAAGATTGGACAAGGAGAGACGGGATGCCTTGACGACTCCTGGAACAACTAGCGCCCAGACTGTCGTCAAAGTCGATATTCTGTTGTCCTATAGCGACACTCGGTCGCCTTCCGACGTCGGATCGTGCCCCCATCGAAGGGCCTGGATCCGCCTCTGCCGGGGGACCGGGGACCTTCCGCGACCGGCCGCACAACGCCACCATCAAGGTGATCCAGTGTCAAATCCCCGCCACTTTTGTGGCGGTTACCGAGGAACCGGGCGGGCTGGCAACACCCGAACCTAAACACCCTCCTGCCGGTAGCGCAGCCAAATGGGGTGGGGATGACTCCTTCTCCCAGCGGTGGTGGAAGTCCCTTTTGGGTCTGAAGCACCAATACTTGCAAGCTCAAAACGGGCGCCCAGTGCATCAAAATAAAACCTTGTGCCTAAAAGGTACCCCCCCTTACAAAAAGGGCCATTAAGTGATAATGAGCAGCATCCTTGGCTGGAAAGGCCATCTGGCCCGACTTGTCCCTCTACTGGGCGAAATATTGGCCACGTGACTTTTGGAACTGTATCATTTTGTCCTCAGGGTTGTAATTTCCTGTTCAGTTAGAAGCTTCACCCCCCCCCCCCCCCTCTTCCCTAACATGGGCTCCAGCTCCCTCCCCCAACGTAGGTATGTGTGTGTGTGTGTGTGTGTGTGTGTGTGTGTGTGTGTGTGTGTGTGTGTGTGTGTGTGTGTGTGTGTGTGTGTGTGTGTGTGTGTGCGTGTGCGTGTGCGTGTGCGTGTGCGTGTGCGTGTGCGTGTGCGTGTGTGTGTGTGTGTGTGTGTGTGTGTGTGTGTGTGTGTACAGGTGATGACACCGTCCGTTCGTCGCGCCAGGCTGCCGTCTTTATCTCAGCCGGCGTGTCCGCACCCGCCCTTGGCGCCCCCCGCGACAGGACAAAGGCGCGGTAATTTGGGGCTGGTAGCCTTTCTCAAGGCTCCGTCGGGCCGCGCTCGGCCGGGGACGGACGCCGGCCGCCACCATGCTGTCGATTTGAATGGTGGCCAGCTGGGGCGGCGGCGCAGGTGCCAGCAGCGGAGCCGGCCGCCACTGCGCGTCACAGCTGGCTGCTGTGCGCGGCTACCCGCTACAAGGCCGTGCTAAATATGGCTGCGCTATGATACGCATATAAATGCCCGTCTGCTCTCTCTCACCCGGTCGGGTCACGGCTTGTTTTGCTTGTAACGTGGTCTCCAGCAGAAATTGGTTTCGTCTTGAAAGAGGACGCGTTGTTTCCGCCTGTGCTTGATTGGCATCGGCCTTCCGTGGTGCGTGCTGCGGTGCTCGTGCCAGGTGCGGGGCGGCCTGCCGTCGGCTTCAGCGCCTCTTGCGCGCCGCCCCTTCCCCCGGCTTCGCCGTCGGTGGGAGTTGGGGTTCCCGGGTTGTTTGTTTGCACGGCGCAGGAGGAATGCCGCCAAGTCACATGAACGCGCGCTGGGGCCGCCGCCGAGCACATGGTGCATCACGTGACCTGGGCGCGTGTCGTGCCAGGTGACCCGCGACGCTTCAGCTCAGTTTATACGGAATCCTCCGCTCGGCGGCGCTGCGGCCGGCGCTTGTATCGGAGCTGCGCCGTGCGGTCCACGTGACCGGGGGCCTCCAGTACTGTCCGGTTCACGGCACACGGCACCTCTGAAGGGAGGACGGACCCGCGGGTCTGTCGGTCTGCACGGCCTTACGCCGATGGGCTCGGGAAGATCCACGCAACAGGCGGAGTGGAAGCTGTAAGCATGACCCCAGACGTGATCGGGACGGGACGCGTGGATGCAGTGCGGATCCCCCGAGGATATGGGGACAGATGTGATGTTTAACTGCTTCCTTTCCACTCGGCGTCTTAGGCACGACACGGCACGCCGCCGCCACAGCACCATTGGTACCAGCAGCGATGTGGCGCACGTGTATGGGTTTGTGTGCTCTGCTGTATGTCTGCTTCATGTCCGCCGCGTGGTGTTGCAAAAAAGCCGCCGTGACTGCGAACTCGGAACGAAAGATAGCTGTATTTGAACGTCATTTTTCAAGAGACTGAAAACGCTTCGACTGCGCCCACGACCTGACATCAAGATTGCAGGCTCTTGTTCTGTCTTTTTCTTCATTGAAAGCTGTGCTAAAGTTGGCTAACCGACTCGGAGATGAGGTCCGACTTTTTGCCGGTTGTCTCGCTCAGGCGACGGCGCATGGCCCGGCCGGTTCAGCATCCGTGCCCGCCTCCGCCGGTGGAAGCGGCCTGGAGCCGCGCCTGAGCGCCGGCCGCGTTTTGCGGCGCGAGAGGCCCGCCGCGCCCCTCCGGAGGTGCCTCCATGGGCGGCGTTCCGGGGCCTTTGGTCGGTTTTTCTCCGGGTTTTTATCGAATTATTGAGCCGGGGCCGCCTCCCAAGGTCCGCCCGAGCCTCC